ACAAGCCGCATATTGACCCCATAGCTCAGATATTCGACTTCTTTGAGCTTTTTGTCGGTTAATCTGGGCCGTAGGCATAGAATCTGAAAGCCGCAGCTTCAATTTTTACTGACTGATTCAGAATCTGATTTCTGCACTCGTCCTATCGAGCACTAGCATGATTAGTAGCTTACTCATGTCGTAACCGAATCTCAAATGGAGGTAATGAAGGTAATCCAATCCTTTCAGCTTATTAAACGAAACACCATTTCCAAACACACAGTGAAGAGCTTACGGATGAGAGTATCCCCTGTTTCACGGCCGTCTCTATGGGAATCCAGGGGGTGTCAAATAGCATGATGCCTGGAGCACGGAACTGGACGATCTTCAAGGTCAGCTTCTAGTTCAGTTAGAGACACAGCACGCTTAGTCACTGTAACTTCACACGTCAGGAGACGATTTCATAAGAAGAGCATTTACTAAAATTTCGATTCTCACAGACAATTCCCAACATTTCGTCCATCAGTTGGTTTAACGTTTCTTCCCTGGACAGTATTCTGCAGTTGTAAGCGCAAACGGTGAGGGAAGTCCGGGTTTGCTTAGCAGATGGCGGCGTTTCACCAGCAACTTTCAGCAGAATCTCGTCAGCCGAACACCGAACTGCTGCCGTGAAAAAGGTTGAGATGCGCAGGGTACTAAGATCGATTTATTCGCGTTTTCATAGCGCATAAAGCTTAGTCAAAGGTTGGAAGAAGTGACGGTAGCCTGAAAAATTTCGCATAGACGAGTCCCCAGTTCCGTCCGTTTTTAATGGAACTTGTCTCTTGTAGCGTTTGATGTTTAGTCGAAAGGGAACGGTGATATTGGCAACCTCTGTACTTCATGGGGTCGCTTTCGTCTTGAAAAAAGACTCTCATTATGCAATGTGACTTTTCTCCGAGAAACGAACTTGCCCAGCTCGAACTCAGTCAAGTTCTGATTCTCTGACCACGAGCTGCTTATTTGTCACAGTTAGCATCCATATCTTGAAATCAGTTCCATATCCGCAAATCGAGTACGCGCCAGAAGGCCAGCGTCTCATAGCAGTGGACGTACATTTTGCATTATCAAATATACGATACAGGCACGAAGATATTATGGAGTCATGGCCTGCTGAAAAGGACCCTTAGGTGTTAGGAGCAAGGAAACGATGTGACTACATGACGTAAATCAGAAGCAGTGACAAGAAATGATTAAACAGTCATATCACTTTTAATATTATAGTTAATAATTAATTCGAAATATCATTTAGTGAAATATTCAAAACAGCTGCGTACTTCGTTTTCATGCCTGCTTCGAGGCTGATTGGAAATGGAACGCATAACCTAAAGTA